AATAAACATGAATAAATATTTATTAAATATATAAAATCTAGATATACGATATTTTTTTGCAGTATTTCGAATTATCAAATATATTTATATCACAAAATATATTTATATTTTTAGAAATGATAATTTTAAATTATTATATATAATTATATCATATTATAGATTTAATTTTATAATTATATAATTATAATTTTTTTAATTTTAAATTATTACGATTATATTTCTAATGCGAATATTTATAATTTATATTTCTTTTAGAAAAATTGCATTAAATAATCCATATAATGGTAACGATTTTCTTAAATTATTTCTTAATATATCATACTATATTCTTAATATATATTATAATATATATCCGATATAACTAAGATTTTTATTATTTTTATATACTTGATAAATAAGCAAACATATAAAATAAAAAATGAAAAGTTAGTAGTTTATTATAAAAAGAAGCGATTTAGAAATATTTTTTAAAGAGTATTAAATTTCTCTCTCAGAATATGTTTAGCCATGGTAAAGACATGGCTTCTACTTATATGTTCAAGACAGCAATATTTGTGCAACGTAGACAGTAATTTAATTATTCATATACCATTTTAAACATGAAGTCTATCAAGAGTCATATGATTTTTAATATCGTTCCATCACACATTAGTGAACATGTAAGTTTAGAATATGTAATACAAATATAAATCAGATAATTTTAAATATATTAAAAATATCAACATTTGTGATAATTTACATTACTATTTTAAAATTTTCCAATTTATGCTGAAATATTTTTCATTTGCTTTTGATCATTTAAAACAGATTAAAATGATTAGTAAATTATATCAATGATATAAAATTACCTAACAATCTTTTAATCTAAAGATCAAATATATTTATATATATATATATCTAAATGTATCTAAAAAAAAAGTGTATTTAACATACAAAAATATAAGAAAAAATTTAATATATTAGATTATAAAAAGATAGACAGCAAGAAATAAATGCATATAAAAGATGACGATCAACTAACCAATCGCGTCATGCGATAAAAATATACTTCACGTAAAATCATTGACTATACATATGTATAGCAGAATAGTAGATACACGACCTTTCGGCGGTAATTTGTCACATGTGGCAAAATACGCCACGCATGCGCTGTAAGATATAACGATATGCGATGTCGCAGTGTTCCAGAGATCATGGTTCCGCGTGCCGGTGCATCGGTACTTATTCTCTGTAGAATGACTGCGCATGCGTTGAACATCACAAAGGGTGAATGTGCCTGTCTACTTTCGTAAGGCAACGTTGCTGTCGCGACGTTGCCATATCGTCAAATACATTCGAGGCTTTCGAAGCGTTCCTAGCATTATTCGTTGGCGGATAATGGAGAAGGATTAATCGACGTTAGCTAATATCGCATTTATCTATACATATTTTTTTATAGAAATTCAAATTATTTTATATGTAATTATTTCAAATTTTATTTCTCAAAATAAGAATAAAGAATCTTAATATACATTTCTAAAGCATTTGTTATAAAATTGCATTACGGAATATAAATTTATTTTCATTTTATTATGAATATTACAAATTAGATTTTTTACTAATATTTTTAGATTTATTAGATTTGAAATTTTTTAAAAATATATTAATAAATATATAATAAAAATATTTTATTATATATAAAAAAATATTTAATATTATTTATATTCATATGTTTAATAACTTAATTATTGATTTTCATTATAATTATAATATTATCATAATTCATTATATAATATATTTTACTACGAATTTACATCTTAAATATCTGCGTTTCAAATATTTTTCTATTAAAAAAATTTTTAAATTTCTTATTGATTAATTATTTTGATACAATATGACAATTGTTTACATTATAATATAATGTGACATTGAACCTTTTGAACTATATATCAAAACAAATAACGGTACATATATTTTCCTTTTCAAAACTATATTTTAGGGTATTTTGTAAAAACCCTTAAAATCTTAAATATTATCAGAAATATAAATAGTTTTAATAATTATCATTCATATATATTTAAAAAAAGATTAAAAATAGAAGAATTAAATTAGTGAAACTAGCAGAATATTATATTAATAAAAAATATATATTATAAAAATGTCTATATCATTATATTATTACATATAAAAAATATTATTCCTTCTAATAAATTGTTCAAATTTAAATTATCTTTCTCGCATTTAAAACTATATTCATAATTAAATGGCGACTTTATGAATTTTCCTAGACTGAGTTCTCGATGATGTAACGGTCACTGACCCCCCTCCTCCCACTTTTAAAATCTTCTCCCACCCATGTATTACCTACTCTTTTTCCCTTTTATGAATGATGCGCATGCGATAGAACGTTATGTACGTGAAATATACATATATACGTAGGTCACGAAGAAAATGATAACATGCATGCACAAGTTATATGTACAAATTCATATAGATTAATGATGATGAATTTAATACATGTATTAAGGTGAAAAAAATTACAACGTTCGAAAATAAATAAAAATATGTATCAATATATGATTTTTAAATTCTAAATTCTGTAACCAAATAATAATTATGTTAAAAATAATATAAGTTTGTCATTAAAAAAAGATCATAATAAAAATAATATGAAAGCTTGGAATATAAATATATTCTATAAGTAAAAAATATGATAGTCAATGAATATGTTTAAAATAAAAAAATTGTAAAAAAGATCTACAAATATGCCTTAGATATATCAAAATAAAATAATACAAAAAAATAGAAATTATATTCTCTTTTGTTAGTGGCATATATTTTTATATCAAACAAAATTAAATTTTATCATAAAATAACAGTATAAATAAAAGGAATACAAAATTGCATTTGCGATAACGAAACCTCTCAATACTTATGAATTTTATCATATTTGTAAAACTGACATAAATGATATATTCAAGTAAACAATAATAAAATGAACAATAAAAAAAAAGATAATTAATTACTCTTGTAATAAAATATAAAAATATACTAATTCATTTATTCAAATTTATTATACTTAAAAATTATTTATGAGATAATTTTAAATAATTAAATATTATATATATAAAAATATATTATATATTATATTATATATATAAAATATATATATTATATAT